AGCTACTTCCAGGACAGCTAGGGCTACGTAGAGAAACCCTGTCTCAGTAGAAAGAAAAAAAAAAGATGATATTGAGAAAACAAGGAAGGTGAGAAAGGGAGAAGGGAAGAGAGGGGTGGGGAGAGACAGAAAGAAAGAGAACACAAGAGACCCTATTATAAATTAGGAGGTACATTAAATATTCTGAACACTGAAAAACAGAACATTCCTGTTGAGACCAAGCTGGGGCAGGAGGCTGCCTGCCCTTTCTTCACTACGATGACAGATCCTGAGACTTGGGGAAGGGTTTGCATTTAGAATGACAGCCCTTCACATACACCCTGTCAGGATCAGAGACACGGGGATCCCTCAAGCTGCAACCCCACCGCCCTCTCCCTTGCCATCCTCACAGGTTCTCAAGACCTGCCCCTTTGACCTAATCGCCTCTCAGCAGCTCTTGGTGCCAGCCGCAGGGAGAGCTGGTTACAGTACAAGGCTAAAGGGACAAAGCCTGGCTCTGGGTAGTACGTCTGCTCAGGCTTATAAATCTTCAACTGCACCCTTGCCTATGGACTTGAACCTCAGTAATCCTTGTGTGGCCACAAGCAAGGGAGTCAGATATAAAGTGCACAGCAGCTGTCTGTGGCCAGTGTTGATGGGACCGGAACTCCAGACTGTGTCCCCTGCAGACACAGTGACATTATCTGTAAGGAGAGTCTGGGGTGTTTACAGAAGAGAAAGCACTCAGGAGTCAGGTGTAAGGATTCAATAGTAGCTGATGGTGATTAAGGGAGAGGGGCTAGAGGGAGCTCGGGAACAAACAGGATGTTTTGCCAGAAAATGCAAGCTATCCTCAATATGAGCCCCAGAAGGAGAGGTAGACCTGTGGCCCTACAATGGCGCCCTATCTGAGGTGAGTAATATTTTTTCCATGTTTTCCTAGGAGTAATGTCACATAACAATACGCCATAGAATGCACATGGAATCTGAGGATGAGTTCAAAGGTCGTGAACTAACTGACTTGGTAGTGGAAATGTCAAAACATCTGTGCTAGCTAGTTTTCTGTTAGCATAAAATAGTCATCTGAAAGGAGAAAATCTCCAAAGAGAAAATGCCTCTGCAAGACTGGGCTGTAGGGAATTTTCTTAGTTATTGATGGGGGAGCCTATTGTGGGGTGGTGCTACTCATGGACTTTCCGTCCTGAGCAAGCCATGCAGAGCAAGTCAGAAAGGAAAAGGCTACTCTTCGTTGGCCTCTGTATCAGCTCCTGCATATAACATCAGGTGTTGTATAGGACTCCTGGAGAGTTTTCTCATTTGCTTATGCATACACATACACAACATACACAGATAGGTAAACCCACTACAGATCAAAGAACGAAGTCCAACTTAGTGAACCATGAGTTTTATTGGAGTTACTTACAGGAGCAGAAATTACTCAGAGACAGCTGTTTCATCAAAGCCCATCCCAGCATGTGTGACAGTTCACAAAGCCGGGAACCTGTGGAGCACACCACACAGCCTGCAAATAATTCAACAGGTTGGAGAGTGTCCGTTCCAAGTGCCTCAGTTGCTCTAAAGGTAGGTGGTCTGGTCTCAGTCTTTGAGTTTACCTAGGAGTTTTCTTTTCTTTGTTTGCTTGTTTGTTTTTGCTTATGTTTTTGTTTTGCGAGATAGGGTTTCGCTGTAGTTTTAGAGCCTGTCCTGAAACTAGCTCTTGTAGACCAGGCTGGCCTCGAACTCAGGCCAGCCTGAGATCTGCCTGCATCTGCTTCCCAAGTGCTGGGATTAAAGGTGTGTGCCACCACCGCCCAGCTTCCCCAGCTTGCTTTTAATCATGGTGTTTTATCACAGTAATAATCATGCTAACTAAGACTACAGCATATTGGATTCGACTTGTGTTTATTACTGGCTCCTTTTAGCTAGCCAATAACTCGAAACACAAAAAGCAGAGCAGAGCAGTTTTTATTGTTAAAAACCTATATATAGTCTTGGTGCTGAAGATATGGCTTAGTAGTTAAAGAGGACTTGTTGCTCTTCCAGAGAGTCTGGGTAGTTCCCAGCACCCATGTTGGACAGCTCACAGCCACCTGTAACTTTAGTTCCAAGAGATTCCACTCCTTCTTCTAATTTGTGTGGAAATCTACACCTATGTGGTACTTACAAACATAACAGGAACACACACACATCAATCACAAATCTTATATTTTTAAACACAGTCTTGACTAGGATGGTAGAGGATGGTAGCAAATTACTTTAATCTGAGCACTAGGGAGGCAGAAGCAGGTGAATCTCTGTAAGTTCCAGACTAGGCCAATCTACACAGAAAGTTCCAGGCCAGGTCTAGCCAGAGTTACATGTGGAAATTCTGTCTCAAAGCAGGGAAGATGTGGGGGGAGTCTTACCAGAAAAAGGTGAATTGAAAATTGTGCATAAATCAGTGGTTGTAAAACACATTTACTCTATGATTACTCTATTAAAGAGAGGTCAAGCAATCCAGGCAGTGGTAGTGCATGACTATCTCAGCACTTGGGAAGCAGAGGCAGGCAGAATTCTGTGAATTTGAAACCAGTCTGCTCTACAAAGTGAGTTCCACGACAGCCAAGGCTACATAGTGAGATACAGTCTAAGTAGGTGTATGGGGCGGCGGGGGAAGGTAAGAGACGACAAGTGTCTCACTAGAACAATACGAATTATGTCTTGAGAGTGTCTCAGAAAATGGCCAGACACCACCCACCACTGGCTCAAAAGTATGAAAAGCTGACCCTTTTCTTTGGGAAGGAACTCCCTAGTTGAACAGAGCCACCACTTAGGAAAATGTATACCCAGGATTCAGTTCAGGATATTCAGTTCCTCCAGTGCTCAAAGGTAGCTACAAACACAGTTCAAGAAGGTCACAGCATTGCTCCAGAAGGTACCAGACACATAATATTGGTATTGCAAACATGCAGAATGCAAGTCATGAAGACTCACAACCAGATTTCAAATGGTGATAGCTTGGGAGTTTGGGCAATGTATAGTAGGGTCAGAGTCCCTATGTGCAGCTCTTAAGAGATTTGCAGGCTTTCAAAGGCAAGACCCTGGGGCTGAAGAGATGGCTCAAGGGTTAAGAGTACTTGTTGGGGGTAGAGGAGCTGGAGAGTTGGCTCAGTGGTTAAAATCACTTATGAAGAACTTGGACTCAATTCCCAGCACCCACATGGAAGCACACTACCTCCTCAGGTACCAAGTACGCATGTGGTGCACAAATGTACATGCATGTGAAACACTCAACCACATAAAAGAGTAAAAATAATTCTTAGGCAGTGGTGCTGCACACCTTTAATCTCAGCACTCAAGAGGCGAAACAGATGGATCTCTGTGAGTTCAAGGGAACTTTTAAGTGTGAGGCCACTCTGTTTCTATAGAGAGTTCCAGGACAGCACAGTGAGACCCCGTCTAAAATAAAAACATATAAATTAAAACCACAACTCTCAAGGATATATGTCAAATTTATATACCTCAAAGGAAACCAGAAAGGTAACAAGGGTGGTTCCGGGAAGATGAAACAATGAATCTGAAATAAAACAAAAGGCTGGATGGAAGCATACAGAGCTATTTGGCCACCCTCAAGGGGATGCATTGGCAGAACTCATTTGCAACCCATCAGCTTCTTGCAAGTCAGTCTTACTAGAATAGTGAGTGTGTGGACTTCAACCACAGAAAAGTAAAAAAGAAAGAAAGAAAGAAAGAAAGAAAGAAAGAAAGAAAGAAAGAAAAGGGGATTAAGGCTGGAGAGATGGCTCAGAGGTTAAGAACTGGGTTCAGTTCCCAGCACCCACATAGCAGCTCACAGTTGTCTGTGACTCCAGTTCCAGGTGACCTGACACTCATACACATAAGATATAATAATAATAATAATAATAATAATAATAATAATAATAATAATAATAATCTACTACATTTAAATCGTCAGATGTCCCAGAATGAATTTGGTAAATGATGTGAGGAAACTGGACAGCTCCTAGTCGTCTTCCTTCAATTTTTCTGTGAATTTTTTTCTTAAAACGCCTCCCTCGCTCACACACCCAACTCTGTCTCCTCTTATTGCTGTCTTTCTTTCAGTCTTTGAAACCTCTCAGTCCATGTTACTTTATCTCTACTCTCCGTCTTTTCTCCTTGCTTACCTTTCTATTCGTGTCGGTCTCTAGAATCTCGATGTCTCACCTTCCTAATCCCAATCCCTTTCTGTTTCTCTCTTCCTCTCGCTAAATTTTCTGACACGCCTCAGGTCCAAATGCTCTGACTCTAATGAATGAAACTCTTCCTTTCATTCAGACCTGTATCCCTGTTTGTGTTCACTTATATTCAGTTACTCCCTCCTCGCATTCAATCTCCGCCCTCACAATCTTCAGGCCCTTTTGCCCCTCTTGCTCCCGACTATGTGCGGGTATATCTGCCACGCTAATTCCTACCTTCATAACTATCTCGTTGGGTATTAGGTGTCCCTGTCCCCTTCCTATTCCCTCACCACAGAACCAGACAGCCTTTCCTAAACCAGGTAGTCTAGGCGTTACCCGGGAAACCACCAGATTTGGTCCCCCGGTTACCATGGAGCTCCGCTCAGTCCCACCCAGGTCCGGTGATGCTGTGCTTGCACACATGGAGTACTCTGCCGACTACGATTCCCAGAAAGCCTCTAGCTGAATGTTTTTCTCCGCAGCTCAAGAGGTAGCCGAGGGGAGCGCCCCTCCTGAACCGGGGTTGCCATGGAGACGAGGCTGACGGCGTCCTAGTGAGAGCGGTGATTGGTGCAGAACCCTGCAAATCCTAGGAAGGCCCGCAGAGAATTGACAAAAATGTGGTGGGGGGTATGCGCTGTCTGGAAGGCGGTGCAGCCATCCGTTGCCCCCAGAGAGGATTGCGCACGTCGACGGGGCCCAAACGCCTGGATTTGAGACGGGGAGTGTGGGAAGAGAAGGCCAGGAGAGCGACCTGATCGTTACCAGCGCAATCCCCTGGGGACAGGAAGAAGGGTAGAAACGGAGGTGGGGGTGGGGGAAGGGCAGAAGGGCTGGAGCTGCGCGCGGAATAGTCTGGGAAATGTAGTCTGACCTGGAGGAAGCGAACGGGAGTGCGCATGTTTAGGAGGGCTCAGCCACCCTCGGAACACTGAAGTGAGGCTGGGAGTCCCTGCACCGCGAAACTTCAGGAGGGGACTGAGATGGAGTTGGGACTACAGAAGGGGATGGATTCTGGGGTTCCGGCTGCCCAGCTAGACCTTGAGCCTCAGCAGAGGTCTGAGAACTCCCTGTGCTGTCACGCGAGCTTTCCAATTGCCACCATTGCTACGGCGACAGATCTCTTAAGCTCCCTAAAGTAGTGACGCTAAAGTAGTGGTAGATTTCTGGGAAATGTATTTCCGTGCCCTCCTCTACTTGTTTAGTGGCTGTTCCAAGTTTCTCCTAGGGTTTCGAGTTTACTTGGCACCCTAAGGCGGCAGAGGTGTGACCCACAGAAATCTAACTGCCTCTAAGTTGATGCCACCCCAATAATAAATTCAGATTTTCACAAAGTTCCAGTTGCAGAAAGTATGTAGGGAAGGGAAGTCAGCCCTATTTGCAGGTGAGGAAACTGCAGACTTCAGAGTTCACTAGGCACAGAGGAATCAGCATCTCGGACCTTCCTTGCAGACTGTTGCTCCAGTGATTTGGGGGCCTCTGAGGGTCCTCAGAAGTCCCTCCCATCTCTCCGTTACCTCCGAACGCCAACTAAATTAGAGAACTGAAGAAATGGATGGTTGCTAAATGTGATGAGATAGCTTCAGGTGTTGGAGAGGAGCAGTGGAAAGGCGTTGCCTGAGAGAAGTTGGGATGCGGGATAAGGTGGCTATCTCTTTGAGACCACACTGGGAGGGGATGCATGTCTGAAATTGGAAAGAAAACATTAATAGACTGATAGTGGGAGTCGGGGAGGAGGCAGCAGTGGTACTGATGCCCGGATGTAAATAAAGAGGTGACTTCTGGGATGAGGCTGCTGGTATAGAAAAGGATAGGATTCAGGGGAGAGAAATGAAAAGAATAGGATTTAGGGAAGAACCTAAGCAGCAACCTGTTCTTAGAGCAGGAGACGCTACCAGACATTGCGTAGACCCAGCTGGAAAGATCAGCAAAGCAAGTGGCTCTGCTGAGTTCCCACGGGTCTCTGGGGTGTGGCTGGCCTGTCAGTGCCTGTTCCCTCACGGGTACTCTGTGGAGAAGGTCTCAGGGGCAAACAACACAGCATACAGTAGGCACTCAGTAAGCATTCGCTGTCACTGTCTGTCCTTATTCCAGATGCCTCACACTTCCTTCCCTAGGGACAGACACTGACCTGAGACCTGATCTGGTACTCCTGATGAGACCCACCATGCTGGGATCCCCAGGCCGTGCACCCTCAGAAAATGAACCCGTTGTGGTGAAGCTGGAGGACACTGAGGAGGAGGAAGAAGGCAGTCTGTGGGACCCAGGCCCTGAGGCTGCACGTCTACGCTTCCGGTGCTTCCGTTACGAGGAGGCAATTGGCCCTCAGGAAGCCCTGGCCCAGCTCCGAGAGTTGTGTCACCAGTGGCTACGCCCAGAGGTACACTCCAAGGAACAGATGTTGGAACTCTTGGTGTTGGAACAGTTTCTAGGTGCACTGCCTCCTGAGATACAGGCCCACGTGCAAGGGCAGTGGCCAGGCAGCCCTGAAGAAGCTGCTGCCTTGGTTGACGGGCTTCGATGGGAGCTGGATGGACCTCGGAAATGGGTGAGTCAATAGCTGAGTGGAAGGTCAGGACTGGAGCACTGTTCAAGCTTTGCCTCTCTCTGGGAGTTCTATGCCCGCTCAGGCATGCCCGTTGGTCATACAGAAGTGTCCACCAGCAATGGGGATCCTTCATGTGGTTGCTCAGGACAGGAGCCCATACCTACATTTCCTGTCATCCCCCAAGCTGGATGAGACACAAGGGGTACCAGGCAGCCCTGTGCCAGCAGAGAGTCCTTTTGCTTTCTGCTTGGGGGCAGGGAAGGGAAGGGGGAGGACTTTGGAAGACCTACTCATTATGTATTGACCAGGAAGTCCTGCAGTGGAGTGGGGGCCCATGGACGATGGGTTGTACCCAGCTCCACTCTGTCCTTCTTCGATGCATCTCTCTAGGTCACAGTCCAGGTACAGGGAAAGGAGATCCTATCAGAAAAGATGGAATCCTCCAGCTTCCAGCCTATACCTCACATCAAGCTCCAGACTCCAGAGCCTGGGGCTGAAACTCCCCCTGAGGCCATGCAGGAATTGCCACCGCCAGTGAACCTTCAAATGAAAGAGGAGGAGACAGAGGTGATGGAGAATCCAGGTGAGAGTAGACAAAGTGGGTGGGGCTTAAAGCCTGCCTGGGCCAAGCTGCCTGCACTGCACTAAGTCAGGCCCTGCTAGATGAAATAGTTCTAGTGTTGCCTCTGGCCTTCGTCTTCCCTCCAGTCTAGCCGCCACAGCCCCATTTCCACAGTTTTCCCCAAGCAACATGGGACACGCCGCCCGGGGACCCACAGAGATGCAGAGGCACAAACCAGCGCTTGTCTCAACTGTTTGCCTTCTAGAAAGCCCTACTTGCCCCCATTCCCAACTGGGCCATCAGCTACCCTGCCTTATCCTTCCCAGCCTTGAGTTCATGCCCTATCGCCTTTGACCCAGCACCTAGCACTGCTAGGGAGGGTAAGAACTTTCTTGAGCTGCCTGACCCCACTCTTTCTCCACAGAACTCCTGGATTCTGGGCCTCTTCCTGCTGCCCAAGAGGCTGCAGCTGCTCTCCTACCTAAGGAGGCCCAGGTGAGCCCTACACAGAGTGTGAGCCACCCTTTGCCCTAAGAGCCTCTAATGGGTGGGTGGCCCAGCCAGGCACAGTTCAACAGTGACCACTGTGGTTGCAGGGCCATGGGACAGCACTGGACCAGACCTCTCCTCACAGCAACACTGAACCTGATGTGGCCCCATGGAGTGAGGACCCTGTAGCCCTGTGGCAAGAGGAAGTAGGTGGCATCTTCTCACCAGGTTAGTGAGATAGACACAGTGGGACTGAGCCCTCCTCGTGATCCCCTACACTCAGGAATTCTTGTGTCCCTATGCAAGACAGCCTCATCTCTGCAGTAGCTCCTTTAGCATTCTCTGCCGCTGTCCCCTTGGCTCCTCCTGACTCTGCCCTGCATCATAATACCTTCCTGGAAACAGACCTTGTGTCCCTCATATCCACATCCTGTGCCCAGTTGTGGCATTCTGCATGGCCTCCAGACTCTGGTCTGCATCTTGCAAGTTGGATACCAGAGCAGGGAAGTTTGGAACCTGATGAGGAAAGCCTATTAGTAGATAAGGCAAAAGTAGTTCTGAGAACTGCTGAGAATGGACCAGGACCCCGCCTCCTCTTTCTTGATTGACTTCCCTATGTAAGGGCATCATCCTCTGAATTCTGGTGCAGGAGGTAAAATTTTGAGAGGTTACAGATCTGAAACGCAGTTGTCTAGTCCATGTTAGGTGGTTTATTTTTCCACACTGGGTAGGGATCTCAGGGATTGGGCATGCTAGGCACATACACTGTCACAGAGCTACACTCCCAGCTTCCCACTAATGGGTTATGGACAAGAACTCTACTACTGAGCCCGACTTTAACCTCTCTGGTGGAGCCAGGTATTTGTCCCACCACTGAGCCATGCTTTAGCCCATCCTAGGTAGGAGTTTTACCACAGAGCTGTACCCGCAGTCCCAGAACTGTTCTGTTAGACTCAGTCTCAGGCTTCTTTTGTTTGTTTAATTTCTGCTATTGACGGGTCTTCTCTATTTGAAATTCACTTATCTCCTAGTAGGGAACTGCCATGAGATGTTTCTTTGGAGCATGCCAAGGCTCTTGTCCTCTGGCATGGTCCTTTAATGTTACACTCCAGCTTCCCACCCCGTTTTGTGTGTATTTGAACACGTGTATGTGTGCCATAGCACACGTGTAGAGAGAGTTCAGACAACAACTTGCAGGAGTCAGTTTTCTCTCCCTGTCATGAGGATCCTGGGACTCAAATTCAGGTTATCAGGCTTGGCAGCACACTGAGGCAGAAGAGAACATCCAGCATAAGCGCCTGGTGCCTCAGCAGTCACCTGGCATGACCAGCCCTGCTTGTGTTGCCTAGAGACCACTTTGTCTTGCTTGGACCTGCTCCTCTCTTCACCCACAGTTCCAGTCTCTCAGCTCTCTTGCAGGCACATTGGCACCATTGCTTCCAGCCCCTTAGCTGCTTCCACCTCGGGCCACTCTTGCTGTAGATAACCATATTTCTTGGTTTCAAACACCAATTCATCTTCACCTCCATGACTCCTGTCATGCCCCTTCGCTGCTTGACGCATCCTCCAGCTGTGACTTTTGTGGAGGCCAGAGTTTTGGTTATTGGGAGAGGGTCCTGTTTTGTTTTGAGACCGGTTCTGCTATATCCCAGGCAGGCCTGGAACTCAATATGTAGCTGAGATGGATCATGAACAACTGGTCCTCCTGCCTCTACTTCCCAAGTGCTGGAATTATAGGTGCAGGATACCTCTCCTGGTTTAGACAGTGTTGTGGCCAAAACCAAGGGTTTCATGCATGCTACAAGAACTCTACCAGCTGAGACACATCACAGCCCTGTCGGTGATTTGGTGGTGGTGGTGTGTGCGTGAGCACACACATGGGTGTGTGCATACAAAGGCATGCATGTTTATGTTTGTGCACACACTTGTACACCAGGGACTGAACCCTGGCCTTTTACATATGCTAAACATGCAGTCTACTATGAGAGCTATACTCCTAGAGATCTTTCTAGTACTTCATTATGACACCATTTTAAATGTTAATACCATGCCAGGGACAGCATTAACAGGCTGGTAACATGCAGATAAAATTAATTCACTAAAGACACAGGGCAGGGGGCTGGAGAGATGGCTCAGAGGTTGAGAGCACTGGCCGCTCTTCCAGCAGTCCTGAGTTCAATTCCCAGCAACCACATGGGATGGTGGCCCACAACCATCTATAATGAGATTTGGTACCCTTTTCTGGTCTGCAGGGATACATGCAGGCAGAACACTGTATACATAATAAATAAAATAAATCTTAAAAAAGAAAATAAAGACACACAAGGCAGAAGTAGTTTGATACATGGTGGGACCTCAGAAGACAAGACCATAAATAGAGCCTGTCTCTACAAAGCCATTATATGAGGCTGCAGTAAGTCTCCACGTGTACAGTCAAGCAGCATTCCCGGCACCTAAAAGAGGCAAAGGCAGACAGATTTCTGTGAATTTAAAGCCAATGTAAACTACATAGCACATTCCAGATCGCCAGAGCTACATAGTGAGACCCATTTTGTTTTGTTTTTATTTTTTATTTTTTTAAAGATTTATTTATTTATTATGGATACAGTGTTCTGTCTATATGCTTGCTAGCCAGAAGAGGGCACCAGATCTCATTACAGATTGCCGTGAGCCACCATGTGGTGGCTGGGAATTGAACTCAGAACCTCTGGAAGAGCAGTCAGTTAAGAAGGCTGAACCTCTGAGTCATCTCTCCAGCCCCTTTGTTTTGTTTTTAAACCAAAAACAAAACAAAAAAGTAGAAAGATGAAAAGGCTTTTTTATGGACCTGGAAAGATGGCTCAGTGGTTAAAAAGAGAGGTTGCTCTTCCAGAGGACTTGGGTTTGAGTCCCAGCACCCTCATGGTAACTTGAAATTGCCCCAGAGGATAAGGCTGGATATTGTAGGAACTGCATACACGTGGTACACAGACATACATACAGGCAAAACACCCATTTATATCTAAAATAAAAAATTTAAAGACAAAAGGGTCTTTTGTTGTGGTGATGATAGTTTGGATTTTTGTGTTTGTGGCTCTTTTTTTTTTTTTTGGTTTGTTTGTTTTTGTTCCTTGTTTTTGGTTGGTTTTCTCTGTGTAACCAGGGAGTCTTGACCACACTATGTATCAAAGGCTGATTTCAAACTTATGTCAGCCTTCTTGCCATCAAGAGTGCTGGAATTATAGGCATGCACTACCATGCACTGTAAGAAAAGTTCAAAAAGAAGAAAATGTTTAAGAGACTGAAGATAAGCAAATAAGAGGACCAGGTTGGGTTCCTAGCATTCAGGTCAGGCAAATTGACAACCTCCTGTAACTCCAGCTCCAGTAACCTTGGAGGTCACGGCGTTCATATGCACATAGACATACACATATATACACAATTTAAAATAAAAATACTGGGCCAGTTGGTGGCACACCTTTAATCCCAACACTCAGGAGGCAGAGGCAGAAGCAGGTAGATCTCTGTCAGTTGAAGGCTAACCTGGTCTACAAAGTGAGTTCCAGGACAGCTAGGGCCATACAGACTCTGTCTCAAATAAAAATAGTATTTTCAAATGAACAACCCTGGGGTTGGAAAGAATAAGTGCCTCACAACCATCTGTAACTCCAGCTAAGGGAATCTGACACCCTCTCTGGCCTCCTCTGGCCCCAGGCACACACATGGTGCACAGACATACATATATGCAGACAAAACACTCATACACATAAAATGGGTTAAAAAAAATTTTAATGAACAAACCAGGTAAAGCGACACATTCCTTTAATCTCAGCATTTGGGAAGCAGAGGCAGGTGGATCTTTGTGAGTTTAGGACCAGTCTGGTCTTCAGAGTGACAGCCAGGGATATATAAGTGAGACTCTATCTCGAAAGGCTAAACAAATAAATAGAAAATGAACCAACCTTGCTTGGTTCACCAGGACCCCCATGGTGAAAGGAAAAGACCTAATCCTGCAGGTTTCCCCCTGACCGCCACATGTGCACTCCAGTCGAAGTACATGCACACATCAATACGTAGACTAAAAATATATTTTAAAAAACTTGAGGCTTGGGTTGGAGAGATGGCTCAGAGGTTAAGAGCTTTGGCTGTTCTTCCGGAGGTCCTGAGTTCAATTCCCAGCAACCACATGGTGTCTCACACCCATCTGTAATGAGATCTGGTGCCCTCTTCTGGCCTGCAGATGTACATGCAGACAATAGTATACTTAATAAATAAAAAAATAAATCTTTAAAAAAAAAAACAAAAAAAAACCCTTGAGGCTAGAGAGTGAGCTCAGTGGTTAAGAGTGTTTATGGCTTTTCAAACACATATCAGGATGTTCACAATGTCCTGGAACTCCAGTACCAGGGGATCTGGTACCCTCTGACCTCCTAGGGCCCTGCATACACATGGTACAATTAAACTCATGCAGTCATGCATACATGCACATATTTACAAAAACTCTTTATGGGCCAGGCAGTAGTAGCATGCACTTTTAATCCCAGCATTCGAGAGGCAGAGGCAGGTGGGTCTCTGTGAGTTTGAGGCCAGCCTGGTCTACAGAGTAAGTTCCAGGATGGCCAGGGCTACACAGAGAAACCCTGTCTTGAAAAACAAAACGAAAAGAAGAAGAAAGAAAATATTGGTGGATTCCCACATGACCTCATTCCCCTCTTTTCATGCCATGTGCTTGGCAAACAGCAGGGGTGGTCACAGGTCTTCACACAGCTCTGAAGACTCACTGTGGTCCACACTCACTCCCTTGTCCACAGTTCTTTGGATTGATTCTCATTAAAAACTAGAAAATGGGACTGGAGAGATGGCTCAGAGGTTAAGAGCACTGGCTGTTCTTCCGGAGGTCCTGAGTTCAATTCCCAGCAACCACATGGTGGCTCACAACCATCTGTAATGAGATCTGGTGCCCTCTTCTGGCATGGGGGCATACATGCAGATAGAACACTGGAAACAAAATAAATAAATAAACCTTAAAAAAAAAAATACTAGAAAACCCTGTGCATAGGTCATTGACACCAGGAGGAATACAACTACTAAACAGGAATACCTAAAAGTATAATTCCTGGGATGGTGTGAAACACCGCTGTTTTGATTTGTGCTTTCAAGAAAGTATCTCATGTAACCCAGCTGACCTTGAACTTGATTGCAGTAGATGACAATCTTGAACTCCTACCTCCACCCCTCAAATTCTGTGAATGGAAGTACTCACCTCCACACACTATCTTGATAAAAATTTCCTGTGTTGTACCAGCAATGCATACAAACAATATGGAAACAAGGCTAGAGAGATGGCTCCGCAGTTAAGAGCATACTGACTTCTCTTGCAGTTCCTAGTACCCACATGTCAGTTTACAATTATCTAACTCCGGTCTCAGGAAATCCAACCCCCGACTTTGGCCTCCACAGGAACTGTAGCCACATGGTCTCACATGGTATACAGACACACAGTCAAACCACCTACACACACACACACACACACTCATAAAAAAGGAAAAGATTATGGTATCAGGTTAGGAGATGTAGCTCCATGATAGAACACTGGCCTAGCAGGAGACTTCCTGGGTTCAAGTCCCATCACTGGGGGAAAAAAATGCTGGAACTAGGAAACAATGTGTCAATGCAGCCCTACTGTGGATTTTTCTAAGCAGGAACTAGCATGTTCAGTGGAGCTTAAATAATTAGTTACATTATTTCTTATTTACATACTTCCACCATGTGGCTGTCAGCACGCTATGAATTGACTGAAGCTTCTGTTGTAATTTAATTATCCCTTAGTCTCTGGAGAGTTGTTAGCGTGGCTTTTGATTCTGGTTTCCTTTTGTGCATTCTAATTTCTCTTACTTCCCTTTGGTGCCTCATGGATTTTCTGTCATCCATTTTGTCTCCACCCTCAGTTGCCTGGGTGGACACCTCATCCCTCGATTAGCCTCATATCTTGGAAGCTCACTCTGTAGTCCAGTGTGCCTCAGGCTTGCACCTTGAACGGCTCACTCTGTAGCAGGAACATGCTTCTACAAGCAGCTCTCATGTTGATCACATGTAGGCTTATGTTCATCTCATCCCCAACCTCCAAGCATACATGCAATCCTCTTCCTCTAGTATGTTTGGGCCATCTCAAGTGTGGCAAGTCCAAACCCAAAACTAAAGAACTCTATTCCCACCCTTACTGCTTCCTGTTGATGTTCTTCTGATCTTTATTGAATCTACATTCTTTTCATCTTCCCAGACCCTCACTGCCCACCTAAACTGGGCCCCACTATCGCTCCAGAATTCTTCCACAAAGAGGTGTTGTTCTTCTCCCAGCGACTTAAGTCAAATCAGGAAGGCCTTCACACACACCTCAGGGAAACCTGTTCAGATACAACTGCCACTCTCTCTCATCTCCTGTCTACATCACCTGCCAGTTCCAGGCCTGTAGTTCAGCCTCCCAGAATTCGGTAGGTTAGGGCAGAAAGCCAGAGTTTCATGAAGGAATGGGTCCCCTTGTGCAGGGTTTGCGCTTCAGATGGACAGCATCACGGCAGAGCCAGATACGGTGAGCCCCCACCTCCATGTTCCCTGGGATCTCGACATGGCTAGCCTCTCTGGACAGATGCAGTCCCCCTCCCGAGAAGGTGGCTTCGCCCATGACCTCGTGCTCCCCAGCAACCCGGGAGGTGAACAGGACCCTGCCTGCGAGAATCCCTGCCCCAGTGTGGGCCCAGCACTGGTGGCGACTCGCCGACTTGCCCCAAAGAGCCGGAGCCGGGGTCGCCCTAGTACCGGGACTGGAGCGGTGCGAGGCGGCCGCTGTGACGTGTGTGGCAAGGTGTTCAGTCAGCGAAGCAATCTGCTGCGGCACCAGAAGATCCACACGGGCGAGCGACCGTTCGTGTGTGGCGAGTGCGGCCGCAGCTTCAGTCGCAGCTCTCACCTGCTGCGCCACCAGCTCACGCATACCGAGGAACGGCCTTTCGTGTGCTGTGACTGTGGCCAGGGCTTCATGCGCAGCGCGCGCCTGGAAGAACACCGGCGAGTGCACACGGGTGAGCAGCCATTCCGCTGCGCAGAGTGCGGCCAGAGCTTTCGGCAGCGCTCCAACTTACTACAGCACCAGCGCATCCACGGTGACCCGCCCGGCCCAGCACCACTTACCCTGCCCCTCCCGGGAGTTCCCGAGCCCCCGGGCCCCTTCCCGTGCAGCGAGTGCTGTGAGAGCTTCCCACGACGTGCAGTGCTGCTGGAGCACCAGGCGGTACACACTGGGGACAAATCCTTCGGATGCGTGGAGTGCGGCGAGCGCTTTGGCCGCCGCTCGGTGCTGCTGCAGCACCGGCGCGTGCACAGCGGTGAACGGCCCTTCGCCTGTGCCGAGTGCGGCCAGAGCTTCCGGCAGCGCTCCAACCTCACCCAGCACCGGCGCATCCACACCGGCGAGCGGCCCTTCGCCTGCGCCGAATGTGGCAAAGCCTTCCGCCAAAGGCCCACACTCACGCAACACCTGCGTGTGCACACAGGCGAGAAGCCCTTCGCCTGCCCCGAGTGTGGCCAGCGCTTCAGCCAGCGACTCAAGCTCACTCGCCACCAGAGGACCCACACGGGCGAGAAGCCCTACCACTGCGGTGAGTGCGGCCTCGGCTTCACGCAGGTGTCCCGGCTCACTGAGCACCAGCGCATCCACACTGGTGAGCGGCCTTTCACTTGCCCCGAGTGTGGCCAGAGTTTCCGGCAGCATGCCAACCTCACCCAGCACCGACGCATCCACACGGGCGAGCGGCCCTATGCGTGCTCCGAGTGTGGCAAAACCTTCCGTCAGCGGCCCACACTCACGCAGCACCTGCGCACTCACCGGCACGAAAAGCCCTTCGCCTGCCAGGACTGTGGCCGCCGCTTCCACCAGAGCACCAAGCTCATTCAGCACCAGCGTGTACACAACGCTGAGTAGGTCAAAAAACACCTCACACTGTTGTTGTGAGGCTGGCATCGCCCAACAGGCCCGCTGAGGACCAGGTCTTCAGTAGGTGCTCAATAGATAGATGATGCTTCCCCACCTGCACGGTTCTTCTGCCCACCTTACGGCTGTTTCAGGTTGGGCATATCCTCTGTGCCATGGCCTTCCGTATACTTCCCAAGTAACCGTACCTACCACACCTGCTCTCTTGTGGAATATACTCTGTACCATACCTCTGGGTTATACAATAGGTATGCCCAGCCTCAGATGGTGAAAAGTAGCCACACTCACACACACAAAAAAAATTAATCAGGGTCTAGTCGAGAGTTCTACCCGGGCGGTGGTGGCCCATGCCTTTATCCCAGCACTCTGGAGGCAAAAGCAGTTGGATATCTGTGAGTTCGAGGACAATCTGGTTTACAAAGCGGGTTCCAGGACAGCCACAGCCAGAGCTGTTACCCAGAGAAACCTTGTCTCAAAAAACAAAAGCAAAAAAAACAAAACCCCACCCAAACAAAAAAACAAAAAAACGCGGGGGGGGCAGTTGGGGAGGTCCATCAACTAGTCCAGCTGGATGTGGTGGCACCCTAGCACTTCAGAGGCTGAGAAAGGACTACAGAGTTTTAGGCTAGTCTGGGCTACACCATAAGCTGCTATCTCAAAAGTACACACTGAGTGTGGTGGCACACACCCACACCCCAGCAGATAGGGGGCAGAGGCAAAAGCATTGCCATCAACAGGCAGGGGAGAACCTGTCCAGAAAAAAAAAAAAAAAGCCCAAATACAACTATACAAATGTGGTGGTGTGATGGTAACCGGCTTGTAATCATTCCAGCTATTGCAGGAGGCTGAGGCAGGTGGACTGCTAGCTAGTTCAAGGTCGGCTTAGCATACAGAGACCTATCTCTAAACAAAAACCCACAGGGCTCTGGGGTTGGGTGGGGTGGCTCGGTGGTAAAGCCACTTGTCATCAAGCCTGATGACCTGAGTTTGATCCCTAAAACCCACATGTTGGAAGGCGACAAACAACTCCTGAAAGTTGTCCTCTGACCTGCACAAGCTCTGTGTGTTTGTGTTTTTTCTGTTATATGTGCACATGTACACACACAGGTAAAGAAATAAATGGGGGAAAGCCTTTAAAAGAGGCCTAGGAATGTAGTTTATCGATGGGTTGTTTGCCTAGCATTCACCAAGCCCTGGGATCAATGCCTTCTGCTTTAAGGACCAATTTATGAGTTAGAGAGAAAGACAAATCAGAAAAGTTATAAATCTTGGTTGCTGCTGAGAAGAGAGAAATGGACAGGAAAGAGAGAGAAAGAGGAAGACAGAAGAATGCCATTTGAGTCAGGGTCCCAGGAAGCAGGAAGGTTCAGCTGTGGTTGTCAGCAATCAGCTGGAAGGGAGCAGCAGGGCTGGGGTTATCGGAGACAGTGAGAATGTCCAGAGTAAGAAGATAAGCACACTTAGGACTTTAGCGAGTATTCAAAGAGAGGGGGGATAAGAAAAATTATGCTTTTTGAGCTAGAACTCAGAAGAGTGGGCAGGCTTAATAGTGAAGATCTCTGGCAACTTCCTAGTGCTTTACATTTTTAAAGTAATGAACTGTCAAGGAGGTAAGACTGGGGGGGGGGGAGGGGACTCACTGCTCATCCTGTGCAAGAATCCTGAGGGAGGACCTTCAGGGCCCTTCTCTCCAGAGAGCTAGAAGGCCTGACTCTGGGTAGTGTGTACACTACTACCAGAAGGGCCTTGGCCTCCAGGTGAAGTGTCTGGCTGGTAGAAGGCCACAAGGCCACTCTTCTCAGCCCCTGTGGCACCCTGTTTCTCAGAGCAGCAGGTTGAGTGGCCTCTGTGGAGTCCCCACCCTGCAGTGATGTCCAGATAGACAGGTCTAGAGACCAGAGGCAGGAACTTGATACCTCAACCTTTGTCAGGAGACAGGATCTCACGGTGCCTTGATATTCCCACCACATTCCAGAGCCTCCAAAGGGATTGCCCACCTCTCATGCTCGCCATCTTGCTGAGTCAATACATCGTTTCCCTGTGCCCAAACCCACTGTCCAGTCACTTTCTTCCTAACAGCACCCCACCCCCAACCCCTGAAACAGGCATAAGCAGAAAGTCAAAGCTTTCTTCCCACCAGCAGGATGGGCACTGAGGAGTAAACAAGGGAGGGGCCATGAGATAAACACCAGATTGGGAGGTTTAACCTGGAAGCTCAAACATTTCAGTATTTTCTTGTCCTCATGGGTTTGCAACTAACAGGTACTAAGAAGGGATGAGTGAGACCCCAAATTGTGGAGCACAGACTTCAGGACCAGTTGCTCTATCCTCTGGATTCTGTTCCCCTCACTCAGACCACAGGTCCTTCCACCATGGCTCTGTTCATAGCTCTACAGGGGCCTCCTTCGCACTGGGGGTTCTTCAGGAGCACATTCTGCAAGAAATGACAAGATATACAGCTGACAACAGTTTACATGACCCTGGACACTTCAGGCCTGGTGTCCCATGCCATTTCTCCTTTTAATAGCCACCTTCCCTTCCATCTATGACTTTGACACAGCTGCTCCTCCCATGGATTACTGGGGTGCAAGTAGTCAAAAAAGACCCATTTAACACAATTCATTCAGCTTGAGCCCTAAACCCAGGTTGAGGTCTTTCTCTGGGTAGTTGTCAGACCGGTTCTGGGAGGTCCCAGGAATACCATTTAAAGGTCTGCACGTCCAAGCTGCTTCACTTGTTCCTGCTACTTCATCATGACACCCAAAACGGGGGATCTGGCCTCAAGGAAAATAAACAGGCCAAACCAAGTCAGAGGCTGATCCTGTGTGACAGAGTAAGGGGAGGGGGGAATCCCTGGTCCCTATGACACTCATTTGTTCCGTCCAACTGTCAGTTGTGAAGGGACAAAGACACAGCTCCATAAGGCCACTTAGTGGCCTATGGAACACCCTTCATCTTATAGAGATATGAACTCAAACCAAACTGAGATTCATGGTTCCAATGCAGAAAAGAATTTCAGTCCTAGCCAGTATGATGCAAAGTTGGAGATTTTATTAAACATATTGTAAATAAGTTTTAAGCATGAGAGAAGTGCTCAAAATGACTTAACCAAGTGTGGATGTGTGTTTTCCAAGGAAGAATGGGGGGAAGTAGTGGATGTGGGATCTTCAAGGTAGAGTCTCAATTATCTTAGCATTAGCTACACAAAATACCTTTTTGGGTGGTTCTCAAATTACATTTCAAAGGGTTGCTAAGAAACCTAAGAAACCTTTTCCTTTCCTCTTTTGAAAAACATTGGAAATCAGCTCCAGACATGCTTTGGATGGAGTTATCATCTCATAAGGTAAAACAAAAGCTACTAAAGTGTACAGGTTCAGTACACATCCTTGCCCTGTAAATGGAGTTTCTGATGAGATTCCTAAAAACATTGTAGGAATTACAAGCCCAAGTGCGATTAAAGATGCGCGCCACCAGTGCCCGGTTTGTACTGGCATTCTTGCTTATGCATGGAAAGAGGGTTCAACCAGGCTCCAGGGTCAGAGGTTCTATCCCTTTCTCGGGTCCCCATAATTTTCAGTGTTCTCTTCTACCTCACAGACCAGCAAAGATCCTGAACCAAACGCCTTTAAATCCAGCACTCAGGAGGCAGAGGCAGGCAGATCTCTATGAGTTCGAGGCCAGTCTGTTTCACAGAGTGAGTGCCAGGACAAGTTCCAAAGATACACAGAGAAACCCTGTCTCGAAAAACCAAACAAAACAAAAACTAAGAAAGACCCTGAATCAAGATAAGCAGACTTTAGAATCTGAGCAGTAGGGAAAGAACACAGGCAGTGAAGTGCTAGAACACTGTAGAACTGCAGGACTACAAACAGCCCAAGCCCATTTAGTCCTGGGACCCTGGGAGGGCCTGGAGGGTTGTACCTGTAAGGAATGTGAGTTCAAGGTCAGCTTGGATTACCTGCTGAGTTTGGGCCAGGGATGGGTCCTGAGTGGAAGAAGAAAGGTACAGCCACAAAAGCAGCAGATGTACAATAATCAGCATAAAGCTGTGTACCTGAGGAACGGTAAAGAGTAGTTTTGGAGTAATTGTTTTTCTCTGGGTCTCAGTGTGGGCTTGAGATTAGGGCTGATGGTGGAGGCCAGGTTGGCATCAAACCCAAGCTGAGTTCCCATCCTTGGCCCAAACTTCTCTCAGCTTTTAAAGATAAAGCCAAGAAAGGCTGCTGGGGGTGGGCTACTGAGATGACAGAGGGCTGAACAGGGACTAGACTTAAAAGGTCAGGAGTAGTGGGTGGTGGTGGCCTTTAATCACAGCACTCGGGAGGTAGAGAACTCTGTGAGTTCCAGGACAGTCAGGGCTACACAGAGAAACCGTCTTGAAAAACAAAACAAACAAAAATAGGTCAGGAAGATTAGGGCGCTGCCAGCAAGGGGGTACAAAGTCCCAAATGTAGAATCGTGGTTCATGCTTGGCGGTATGAATGATATACCAGATGGCAAAGAAGGGCCAACCTGTTCTAGGCATGTTTTTCAAGCGGTGACCAGACCAGCAGCAGAAAAGCCTAACATCCATCGTGGCTGCCAGCCAGTTTCCTAGATGACAGTCGGAAGTCACTGGCTCATCCTGAGCTATTTCCTTCCGCCTCCCAAATACCCTAAATTAGGACTGGATGCGAGCTGACTCAATCTAGGTCCGTCAGAGGCACAATGCCACTTCTGCTGGTCTCTAGGCCGCAGCGATGGACACCGGACCCACGTCCACCTTGGATCGTAAAAACTACACAACGCTCACTCTCCGCTGCACAACAGAAATCTATTTTAAGGAACAAGGGCCTCGATGTATTTGTTGCCTAGGATGTCCCTGAACGCCTGAGCTCAATCGAACCTGATGCCTCGGCCTCCAGAAAAATAAGACTTTTAAGCTAATTTACATCAATAGGAATCTGGGTTTGCGAAGGGATTAAGGGAGCCCAGATAACGTCCCTTATAAACGCCCAGGCTCTGCCTTTGCTGAGCCCACAGAGAGCAAGATCCATTTTAGCCCGTTCCCGCTGAGTTCCGCATAAGCGCAAGCTTGGATGGAACCACCAAGAACCAAACGGCCACTACCCGTCTCGCTCAAAAAATGGTTGCAAGCACCGCTTCCTACTCTGCCGGGTGTGCATCCCAGCAAGTACCCGCTGGACCGCCGAATAGACACCGCCACAAACGGAAATACCCGAGCTTAACCGAAGAAGACCGATCCCCAAACTCCAACGAGGAGCAACCTGGGGGCTGCAAGGGTTGCGCAGGCGCAGAACGCAACCGGGACAGGAAGACCCGAAGTAGGCAGGCGGCGGAAAGTGCCGAAGCGGCGGGGCGCCCGAGGCCGTTGCCGACCTCCACATAGCAGCCGCGCCTGCCGCGGAAGCTGAGCCTCCACCGGTACCCTGCCACCGCCAGCGCGGCTGCCACCTCCACCTTCCACCTCACCACAGCCTCCTCGCAAAGGGAACAAGTAGGCGAGAGAGCGACGGACCCGGGAAGGCCGGCGTCCTCAGCCACAGCGGGGCCTCGCAAGACCTGAGCGGAAGAGGGGGAGAAGGGCGCGGGGGCCGAAGCAGGGGCGGGGCCGAGGATCACCGAGTCCTCCCGAGCGCCTCCGAACTCACCCGAGGCGCTAAGCCAGGCCAGGAGCCGGACTACGGAAGCCGAGGCGGGCCGTGGGGTGGGCGCGGAGCAGAGCGGCAGGCCGGGCGGGCGGCGGCGGCAG